TTGCACCAGCAGTATATGAATCTCAAAACTGAACAAAATGTAATTCTGCTTCCTTCAAAAAAGTTGTCTTTTCTAAGTCCCACTTGCTGATCACACTGTCTTAAATTACATTTCTAAAACGTACGTTTACCAAAATAAAGTTTCATGTCATGGGAATTGGTACATTTTCATTTTTTCGGTAAAATATTTTGCTCATAAAAAAATAAAATTGCATCTTCTTCTGTGTTTGTCAAATCCCAAAGACGCGTTTTCGTAGCACTAAAAAATGGCGTCAAAAATCAGCAAACAATAAGGCAAAAAGGAATCCAAAAGATAATTGTGTGCGAACGACAGGATTGCTCTTTATTGGCGCATCAGCGCAACTTCTGCTGCTGTGGGATTAATTCGTAAGTACCTATGATGCTTTCATGTGAAATTTTTGTGGCAGTTTGTTTTCTGTAAACTACGAATATACAGTAGAAGTTATCTTTTCCCTGAGATGTAGCGTTATATTGAATTTATTTATTTATTTTTTTTTTTTTTTTTTAATTTTTTTCATTTGGTGCTGTTTTGTCTAATTCTGATTTGCTATTGCCAGGTTATGTGATAGAAATTAAGTTTTCCTTGTTATTGCCAAAGCAATATTAAACCTGTTTTGTTTTTTAGCCTGTTCTTTCTCCCCCCCCCCCCCCCCCCCCCGTTAGTTTTTAGAGAAGAGACTGTATATAAATATTGAAGGCAGAAGTATTAATATTTTAATCTGTTATTTGTTATTTGATTTTTTTAAAAAAAAGAAGAGATTGTATATGACCATTAAAGGCGGAAATATTAATATTTAAATCTGTCATTTAAATATTTGATTCTTTTTAAAACTTTATTTTTTTTAATAAATGAGCACTGTTTTCAGGGGATAGGGCAGTTATCCTTAAGTATATTTTCTGAACATGTTTTTAATTAATTTATAAAAAGTGTGTGATCTATATGAATAAATATATGTGAGTGCTTAAAAATTTATATTTGTACATAAAAATTACTTATTTAAAATCATTTTTGCAAAATATAATATCTTGAAATATTTCGATAAAACTTTTATCTCAGTTTTTGTAATATTGACAAATTGATTTCAGAAATGGAGTATAAAATATATGATGTTCGAAAATCAGATTTCTGTGCTCATGTTTTGTAGTATTTAATATATACATAAAATATATATCTTTTTATATAAACATTGCATACATGCTCGTCTATATGAACAAATATATATATTTGTATGAATGTTTTAGAGGCACTTCTGATTAGCTCATTAATGGAAATGTAGATGTAAAAATTTTCAGTAGTATTTTAGCACTAGTATATCATCAATAAATTCACAAACTAGGTGAAATAGATATAGTAGTTAATTTGTAATACAGTAGAAAACTATGGAAAGACAGAGTCTATTTATAAGTGATTCAAAGTAACAATTTACCTGACACAAAATTTTCAAAAATTCAGTATCATCAATAAATTGCACTTGTGGGTATGAATAAGATATTTTAAAGAGATTTAAGTAAATATTTATGTGTAATGTGGCTGTTCTTGTAATTGGCAGCATTTGGCTTCGAAACTGGAGAGCTTATCTCCTCACTATTAAGACTGATAAATTTTTTTCAAATTCTTTTAGTTCCCCCTCTTTTTTTTCTGAGTATGTTGCTATTTCTAGTCACATCCATTAATTATCAATTGCATGCATATTAGCTGATTTCAGAAGTTTACACATTAAGACAATTTTCAAGTTAACATTTACAGAGTTGCCAACTCTCCCGATTTAGGCGGGAGACTCCCGATTTTCGATCGCTCTCCCGCCAACCCGATTTACAATATATTTCTCCCGACTTTTTCTTATTCTTAATATTTCTCACGATTTTTATGGAACTTGGCTTCATACTTCGTTATATGAACAAAAAAAAAAAAAAAAAAAAAGTGATTTTGGACATCTGAAAGCAACTGATTTTTCTCTAGATTATATCTAAAATAAAACCTTGCGAATCAGATGAGAATTTCTGCTTTGTGAGTGACAGCATACGTATCCAGAAACGTCGTTCTTTAATGGGCATCGAGCTCCACTGCGTGTAATCTGGCATATATTAGCCAATGAGCACAAAGCAAGCTCAAGGCCATTGCAAAGAAAATTCTTTGGCCGTTGGGCCGTTATTTGGATGTTCTTTCGCTATTTCGTTCATCTTGTCCTGAGTTGTGTGAGTACACGTGCCTTTGGGAAATAGTTTTAGAAATTATCGTCTTTTGTTATGTCTGCGAGAAAGGTGAAATACTCGTGCACGTTTCAAAAATCGTACACAGTTGACTTTCCTTCCATTATTTCTTCAAGGAAATGTAATAAATTTGCGATGTGTACCATCTGCCGTTGCGATTTTTTGATTTCGCATGGTGGAAGGGCAGATGTTCTCAAACATGTGCGTACACAAAAACACAAGGACAACATGAGTTGTTTTGAAAAAAACGAAAAATTAAATTTTTCTTCGGAAACAAAAGACCAAAAAGTGATTAATGCAGAATGTCTGTTCTCTGCCTTTTTACTGGAGCACAACCTGCCACTGAATGCATCGGATCACGCTGCAGCTTTATTTAGAAAAAAATTTCCCGATAGTGAAATCGCTAAGAAATACTCAAGTGCAAGGACCAAAACAGGTGCAATTGTTAAAGAAATGGGTTTGAAAAATAAATCTTCAGTTATTGATTGCATTAAAACAGCTCCGTTCTGCCTCTCTACGAATGGAAGCAATAATACCAATTCAAAACTGTATCCAATTGTTTCTTTTTTTAATCCAGAGTCTTCAGAAATTGAGTGCAGTTTACTTTCTCTCCCCACTTTAGAAGGACATTCGACAGGCTTTAATATAGCACAGCTAATTATTAAAACTTTAAAAGAAAATGCAGTCGCTCTGGATAATTGCTTAGCACTTGGTGCCGATAATACACCAGTAATGGTAGGCTTGAAGACTGGTGTTGCAGGCATCTTAAGAAAGGCAAATTCAGATTTGTAGATTGTGAGGTGCACCTGTCACCTCTTAAATTTAGCAGCTGAAAAAGGGGCAGCTTCTTTACCATTAAATGTGGATGAATACATTGTTGATATTTATTATTATCTTGAAAGGAGTTCTAAAAGAAAGGAAAAATTGAAACAGTTCCAACAGCTGCATAATACTGAAATAAGAAAAATTTTGAAACGTGTGTACATGCTGGCTGTCTTTAAAGAAATGTTTATCTAGAATCCTCGATCAATGGAACCCACTTCTTGCATTTTTTAAAGAAGAAGTAAATGCTTCGAGAGTTAAGATAAAAAGGCTCTATTGAAAGTTATAAAGCACCTAAAGTAAATGGAGATGTAGTTACTACTTCTAATTGTTAAAAATAGGTTTGAGAAAAATAAAGTAATTTCTGCACCATTCAGCAATTCAACTGGCAGTTCTCAAAATAATACTGCAAAATATAAGCATAAAGCTGATACAAATTTCTCTCAAAATAAAAAAAAAATTGCTCAACACACGAAACATTTTCCGATTACTGTAAGTTTATCTTGTGAAGAACGAATATTTATGTTTTTTTCTTCGGACCTTAACAAAGCTTTTTGCTTTTTTTTTTTACAATTCATTTTGCCATCATTCGATGTTCTTAACACAATTCTACAAAGCAGAATTCCATTAATTCATGTTTTGCAATCAATGATTTATGATCTGTTTAAAGACATTTTATCAAAGTTTGTAAAACCAGTCTGTGTTTTGTCTTGTAATTCTATATATGATGTGATTTATGGTGAAATAGAAAATCAGAAGAAAGATGAAGATTTGGTAATAGGAGCTGCAACTACAAAAGTAGTGGAAGAACTTTCAGAAGAAGACAAAATAAGTTTTATCTTCATGTTAGAAGTTACTTCTGTCGAGTATGTGATTACATACTACATAAATTTCCAGTCAACGATGAAGTGATTTTGCATGCTAAAGTTTGCTGATGTTTCTGCTCTAGCAAATGCATCTTTTTCTGATATAAGGTACTTTTTGAACAGATTTCCTGTGTTACTTCATTTAGTCATGAAAGATGATGATATTGATGTTGCCACTGATATATTGCAGTCGCAATTTTGCAGTTTACAATTAGAAAACTGGATGAAGTTATAAAATCAGCTAGGATTGACACCCAGTGGAGTTTAATTGGAAAACTGAAAGGTGCTGATGGAATTTTAAAATATAGTGAACTGTCTAGAATTATGTTGGCCATCTTGACAGTTCCCCATAGTAATGCGGAATGTGAGAGGATTTTCAGTGTTGTTGTGAAAACCAGTACTAAATTTAGATCTAATATTAGTGATGACACATTAGAAAAACTTTTATTAGCGAAAGCAGGCCTACGTGGCAATTGCTATGAACAAAATTATGAAGTTCCTTTCTTAACGAAAGCAAAATCTGCCACTGTCCATAACATTTGTATGAAAACTGATTAAAGTGTAATTTTTTTTTAACGATGCAAGTAATAAAAATGTTTTTTATGTAAGGTATTTTTGTTTTGCTTGCATTTAAGACTTAGTAACTATTTAAAGTTAATTCATTATTAAAAACTATATTTTTATCATTTAAAAAGTATTTTTAACATTGTGAAAGATCTCCTGATTTTTGAGTGTCATAGGTTGGCAAGTATGCATTTATAAATATATTTCAGTGATATTTTTTAAAGAAATTTAAGCAAAAAGTTTTTGGAAAATATTTTGCAAAATATTAGTTCAAAATAACCTGCTGATGGCGTTAATATTTCCACCATTGAAACAGCATGCATGTGCTGTTTAAGCTATGCAGTTGAAAATTGTAATATAATGCATTATTGTCATTGTAGTATTTTTCATACTTTTAAGAAGATTAGTGTTGATTGTTTTTCATATTAACTGAAAGACTGTCTATTATTAATAGTAATTAAATACATAATAATGTAATAAATGTCATTTTGTACAATTTTATGTAAAATTTCTGTAGTATGATCCTTCTACTGATCCTCTGGGCATACAAATGTCTCCTCCTGCTGGAGAACCTCACACACCTGTAACACCAGTCATGCATCCTCCTCCATTTGTTCGTGTCGGTGAAAAAAGACGTGCATCTGATGATGGTATTTTACCAAGTACAAAGAAGTTCTTTTTAAGGTAAGTAGAAGTTTTTTTTTTAGGAATGTTAAATTAGCATCATTAACCCCTTATAAAATTATTCGCAAAGTTAACGCATCGGCTGAGCAAGGCGTATATATATGCCCGCGGCAGTTAAGGGGTTAATTAACTGTGAATTAATTTCATAACTTGCTGATGATATATTATAGAAGCTAAATTTATGATATTAATGTTTCATCCACATTTCTTCAAGGACATCAGACTGTTCAGCTCAATGACTGAGCATATGATTGAGCATAACTTGACTTCTGTGTTCCGTCTTCTGTGCGTTGTAATTCCGACTTCTGTGTGTTGGAAAATTATACTAACATCGCATATTTATCATCTTTTATTCTGTTATTTATATATGCTGTACTTACAGTTTTAGTTTCTTATGTATTTTTGGTATTATAGTTTCTTCTACTTCATATTAAATTCCTTTTTAAGCATGTTAATGAAAAAAAGAATTAACAAATATTGTGATATAAAGTAAGCAGTTGATTGAGAATGCTAATAAAAAATAATTAAAGTTGATTTTGCCCCTGATTAACAAGATTTTTTTTCTTCATATTAAAAGTTAATATGGAGATCATTAAAAATTTTATATGAATTCGTAAAATATAGTAAAAGATTTTCTTTTTTCATATTAAATGGATCATCTTTAATGCTTGCAGTTAACAGAAAACTATATGAAAAGTGGTGGAAAATAGTTTATAGCAGCATAAATAGTTACCTTAAGGTGATTTAAAAATTTTGTTAGTTTAACAATAAAGATAAAATCGTATCATTATTGTTTATTACATTTTACCCCTGCTTAATTAGTTAGGCCGCATTTTAAAGTGAAAAAGTGTTAATTGTGAATTAATAACAAAATTGCTAATACAAATCACTCATTGATATTTTTTATTTCAACGATGTTCAAGTTCTCATATGAATGCCTTCTTTATTACCATATATAATGCAATTTATTCATTTCCAGTGATGCTTATCATTCTATTACTTACAGTGTTCTCTTTGTTTTGAATACTGATTTAATTTATGTAATCGAATAAACATAGTCTTCAAATTAAATTACTTAAAAATACAGTTAAATTGTTAATATTATTTTCTATTAATTATGATCCACGTTATTCCTTTTTTTAACTACCCTCTGCTTAACCATGGATATCATCCCTTGTATTATCCTGGTTAATCAGGAAATGTTGTATTTAATTTTGAGAATTTTGATTTACAAAACTTAAAAAGCTAACATTTGATGATTTTACCTTATTAAGGAAGATGGCTTCTTTGCTGTTTACATTTGTATGCATTTTAGATAATGTATTCTTAGGTAAAGCGTAGATATGTTAATATTAATTTTAAGGAATAATGATAGCATTGTTATTAATTTAATGCACTGCATAATTTTTTGAAGAATATTGTTTTATATGAATTTGTCATCTGCTAGTGCAGTGCATCTGTTATTCATAGATTTTCCACTCATACTAATTTGTACTGGGAAGAGCCTGAAAATTTGGTAAACAGATAATTTGGTGCATGTATGCCTGATAAGTGTATGATCTAAGGATGCTGAATTGTATCATTAGGCAATATCAGAAATACAAACTCGACAACTGTGTGTGATTATTATGAAAGTAAGCTGAAGAAAGCAAATTTATTGATGGTCTCTGATTAATTGTTTTGAATTCCTCAAAGTATTAAAGAACATTTTGAACTGAACTTACTTTCAGTCTACTAATCATATTGCTTTTACTGCAAAGCTGAAGTCTCTAGCAGTTGTGCAGACCTGTAAGACCATCTGCCTTTTTTAAATACTGTTTCTTGTATTTGTTAAACATTTTATACTTTAGTTATGGTAAACTAAAGTTATATTTCTGAATGATTTGTTTTGAAATGTTGCTATCTTTATATAATTATATTTTTCCTGAAAAATTCTGTAATTTTTAAGGTATGATGAGCTAATTAATGGGTTCATAATTTTTGAAAATTTCTAATAGTGCATTATGACATACAGTTCATAGTGAAACAGATTAGCATACAGGAAGGAAGCGTTGAGTACAAGTGAAATTTAATAAACATAACGATACATTGAAAAAAACACATGATCTCAAAAAGAGAGCAGTAAGACAGTTAGTGAAGAACTTGTGGTTGTTAGTGTAGTTCTCTTCGGTTAGTTAGAACTATGTTGCAGCCAATATAGCATCATATGGTGCAATATTGCCTGCAACAGAGTTCAATGTGGAGCTCAGCAGCCTTGTTGTACTGAGTCATTCCTGTTGTACAGCACATTCTAAATCTATGATATTGAAGCATAATGGCAGATTTCATTTTATCTGCTTCCAGACATGTTTGATTGGTGACAGGTATGGGGAGAAGGCAAGACATGAAATTATCTGGATAGGCCAGATGTGGCTGGGCTTTATCCTGCTAGAATAATACTAGCTAGAATACCTGCTAGAATAATAATTCCCACCGGGGAATGGAAGTACAATCTCATCTTTATGCTGCTTGGCTGTCAATATGCCATTAATTTATCCATCTTCTGAGGTCAAAACTCTGCAGTTGGGGACCTATGCTGCTCAACAGAGAGGTTGAGATTGTACTGCTGGCCTAGGGACTTGCACATCCAGGCGTAATATTCATCCAGTCCCAAAGTGAAGCCTAACTCATTGTTGAACATCCTGGATCACCATTCCATATTCCTCCACACTGCTGTGGTTTTACATCATTGGAAATAGAACCACCAACATACTGTTAACACTTGGCATGCGGGCAACGTATTTTTACGTTTTTTGCAGTCTGTCACTGTTGAGCGCGGGTCACGTAAAAATACGCATTTAGTAGATTTGTGGTGGATACCCGCTAACCACCACAAATCTATTAAGTACGTATAATTATATGTATGTGTGACATTATATGGGTGTTGTTTGCATTGCTAGGCAACGTTTTGCATTTTTTCTTTCAACAAGTTATGATTATGTAGTTACTTGGTCTTTTGTTGAGTTATTTCGTTTTCAATCGAATTCTTAGCTCCAGAACGTACAAGTCCTGTTTTGTCAATTTGAAGCTTTGTTTTTTACTATTGATTAAATAAATTGATAAAATGAACCATTGTGACAAAGATAGTGATGAAGAAATATGCTCTGACAGATTATCGGACCTTTCGTATGATAGTGATTCTGAAAGTCAAGATATCGAAGAAAGAGACGGTGATGACATTATTCCACGTTCTTGAGTGTTCGTTTGAAGAAGAATTTCTAGTAGTTCTAAAACAACTTCTGATGAAAAAGCAGATGAATGGTCATTGATTGACAATCCTCCAGACCTTGAAGAGTTTTTGAGGTCATCCTGGGATAACTAACATGGCTAATGTTCCTGAATCCACAGCTGATGCAGTAAAGTTATTTATAGGCGATGACTTTTTTGTGTATTTAGTCGCAGAATCAAACAGGTATTATCAAAATATTTTCCAAAAGTATGAAATGGAGAGATATAACGATTCTGGAGATGAAGAAATTTTTGGGGCTTATTATTTTCATGGGACAAGTTCGTAAAGACGCCCGAGACGATTATTGGTCAACTGATGTCTGCACAAGTACACCATTTTTTTTTTTCAAAAACTATGTCAAGGGATAGATTTCGCCAAATATAGAAGGCTTGGCATTTCAATAACAATGAAGACGTCACAGATGATTCTGATCGATTATTCAAAGTTCGTCCTATATTAAATTATTTTGTTGAAAAATTCAATAACATTTACAAATTGAAACAACAAGTATCATTAGATGAGGGCATAATACCTTGGAGAGGACGAGTGTTTTTTAGAGTTTACAACGCTTGAAAAATTATAAAATACGGCATACTCATACGAATATTGTCTGAAAGTGACACTGGTTATATTTGCAATTTTGAAGTTTATGCAGCTCAAGCATTACGTTTGATCGAAATGATACTCACAGTAGTTTTGCCATATACTGATGTCTGGCCACCATTTGTACATGGACAATTACTACAACAGCGTCGATAACATAAAGCCCTTTTACAAAAAAAAAAAAAAAAAAAATGAATTTGCGGAACAATTAGGAACAATAGAGGTCTACCAGAGTGCCTGAAAAAACTAATTTGAAAAAAGAAGAAACAATCTTTCGAAGAAAAAATTATATATTGGTACAAGTTTGGCAATCCAAGAAAGAAGTCAGTCTCATCTCTTCAATCCATTCTGCGGAAATGAAAGAAAATAGTAATGTTGATCGTATCAAGAGACAAAACAATTATAAAGCCAAATGCTTTAATCGACTACATGAAAGGAGTAGATCGGGCCGATCAGTATTTGTCCTACTATAGTATTTTGCGTAAAACAGTGAAGTGGACAAAGCGCTTAGCTATGTATATGATGAACTGCGCATTTTTCAATGCATATGTAGTATATGTAATATTCGACAAAGACGCAAAAAATAAAATACAAGAAATTTTTGCATGGCATTGGGTTACTGATGAACTACCTGAAATCAGCACTGAAGAACTAAAGCAAATGATATCAAAATCCGACCCACCTGAAAGATTGTCCATGGATATGTGCAAACACATATAAAATTGTTGGTGCCGGGAAGAAGAAAAATCCACAATGTCGCGTGTGCGCAGTCAAAAAAGTGAGAAGTGAAATGTGTTTCATATGTAGCTTCTGCCGTGTTCCTCTTCATAGAGGAAAATGCTTTGAATGGTACCATACTGTAAAGAACTATTAACGTGTTATCAGTTCTATTTCTATTTGTTATGAAAAAAATATTTTTGAATACATTGTAAAATTTAAAATTTTTTTTTTTTTTTTTTTTTTTTTTTTTTTTTTTTTTGTGATTTTGTAAAAATGTTGTTTTTCTTTTTGTTAAATAATCATTACAGTATATATTGAAGTTTAAAGTAAAAAAAGTTTCATTCATAAAAACGAAGTAGTTTTCGATTTACTGCAATTTTCCTGAATAACCATACTTTCGTGCGATTCATGAAAAAACTCCCACTGCACGCGTAAGTTCGCGGCGAAGTATACACGCATGCCAAGTGTTAAAGGCAAACATATAAAAAGTACTGGGACCACAGATTATATTCTTGGAGGCATTTCAATAATTTCGTTGCCCACTTGAGTAGCTCCAACTATATTTATAGTGGATCGAGTTGCCGTTGGATCTGTTTGTGCATTTAAATCTATATTTTATGTCTATAAAATGTATCTGTGTGGCATTTAAATAGCTTCTTTCTTCAGTCTTCTCTATCTTGTAGTTTGCTTATTCCTTTCTGTGCCGTTTCCTTTCTACATGTCTATTGTTGCCAACATTGCTGAATTGTATTGTCTAAATAATCTGTGTGGCAGGCTATGCAGTATGCCAACCACCCTGTGATTCTGTTCCAATGATAAAGTCTTTCTGTAAGTCTGTAAAGTGTACAAACCATTTTCTTTGGCATTTAAATGGCTTAGTTCTTCATCTGTTTGTGTAATTACATCAGCTGATGTTTTTTGTACTTTTATGGAGCTGATGAGATGCTGCTATTTTAACCTACCAGTTTGCAATTTCAGTACGCTGCAAGGTACATGATCATGCATGATTACGCCATATGTAGATCATTTGTGTACCAATGAGCCCCTAGTATAGTTTTACGGTCTTTTGCATGATTTCTTGATATGTGCTAATTTTGTTGACCATGCATATTAATAATGCATATTTAAAATTAAGTATATTTAAAAGCATGAAAAAATTATAATGGGAAAATTAAATTTAACAAAAGGGTAATATTCAGAAAATAATAAATGTCTAAGTAAAACTAAAAATACCTTTTTTTAAAATAGTCAACGAACATTATTACACAGAATTATTGAATTTTGACATTTATAGCTCGTTATGCTTATAGAAAAATAGCATTCATAAATATGATATAACTTGCCATTTTCAGTCTTCTGCTGAAAAAGTAACTACTTCTTTCCATTTTATGTATTTCTAATTTGTTGCATTTCGTATAAATATTTTATCATATTATTGATCATGTGTTTTCATTTATGTAGGCCTTATCTTGAAATTTATATTTTAAGTATTAAACATTTTATTACGTTATGCTTGTAAAATATTGAATGCAAATATCATTCAATATTACCTTATGCTTGTAAAATACTAAATGCATATTTCTTTCAGTGGTTGTTGGGACTTAGAAGTGCCAACAAATGTTGTCATTTGGGAGCGTTCTCCTTCTCTTTTACCACCACCGCACCCTGAAATTGAACAATATCGAGCACATCTAGTTATAAAATTAAGACAGCAGTATCAAGAGATGTGTCATTCAAGGGAAGGTAATAATTATTTGCATTTAAGGATTTTTTTAAAATTTATTGTAATAAAAATTCATATTTGTTTCATATATAGTATTGTAGGATTTAGGTGAAATATACCATAATACGGTTTTCTGGTTATCGTAAATTGTTTTTATTGCTTGGGATTGTTAATTCATTTTTTAATAAATTATTATTCCCTTCATAAAGATTTATACATATAGACTGCTTGAAAAAATTTTACTTGCTGGTATTGAATTTCCTTTTGTGCAAATACTGTGATGTGGCATACAATTTTAAACAAGTTTTTTGATATATTTAAAATTTTATTGGATAATTAATTGTTGTATTTACATAGACTCCAACTACTACGGATTCTCCGTAGTTTCTACGGAAATTCATGAAAAACTACGAGCTACGAAAAGTATGGAAAAAACTACAGATTTTACAGAAACAAGAGCAGGAGAAACCAGTACGCAAAACGGAAACCAACTAATTCATCCGATATGATTGGCTGAATACTCGTGTTATCATATATCACGTGTTGAGTGCGTTCCTAGTTTTGAAGAAGAATTAGCCAATCGTAGATCAGTAACTCCAACCGTTAACGACTTATCAATAGTTCCACCCAATTGTCTGTCTCCCAGGTTCCTCGCTGATGCGTGTTTAGGCTGCATTCGGCTGCATTGTGTAGTTTATGGCGAGAGCTTAGCGTGTGTCTTGTGAACTGTGAATCAGGTGAAAGATTTTTAATCATAATGCTGCCTCGAACGAAGCGAAGAAGCCAAAATTATCAAAGCAGAAGTTTAAAGATTCATATTCTTCAGAATTTCCATGCATTAAAGCGTCCGAAATTTCTGTGAATCACGCACACTGCAGTGTATGCAAGAAAGACTTCTCAGTTGCTCATGGCGGAAAAGATGACTGTAAACGGCATGTGTTTTCTCAAAAGCATATAGAACTTGGCACCGTAAAATCTAAAGAAATAACAAATTTCTTAATAAAAGATGATGAAACAGATCCTATAAAAGCCGAATGCTATTTTGTTCGTTTTTTAATTGAACATAATCTACCGCTTTCTGTTTCGGATCATTCCCAAAGAGCTTTTCAAAGCAATGTTTCCGGATTCTGCCATAGCAAAAAAAATTTAGCTGCAGTCATACCAAAACTGCTGCTATTGTGAAAACGCTTGCAGAAATTACTGTTGCTGATATTATAAAATCAGTGTGCAGTACATCATTTTCTCTAAGTACTGATGGAAGTAATGATAACAATGATAACAAACTGTACCCATTGGTTATAACATACTTACAGTAAAGAAAAGGGAGTGATAATTACTTCATTGATTTCTATTTTAGAATGCACGAATAATACAGGAGAAGGTATTTTTAATTGTATAAATGAAAACTTTAAAAACAAAGGTTTAGAATGGAAAAATTGCTTATCATTTTCTTCAGATAATGTTAGTAATATGATTGGAAAGTTTAAAGGTGTAGCATCATTTATCAAAATGCATCAACCAAGTATAATCACCCGAGGTTGTCGGTTGTCTGTGCCACCTCTTGCATATAGCGTCAAAAAAAGCTACTGAAAAATTAATTGGCTCAGAAATTGAAATGTTGATAATACATATATATTTTTACTTGGAGAAAAGTTCGAAACGGAAGCATAGCTTCAAAGTTGCTCAACAAATTTTGGGACAGAATGCAAAATCTCATAAAATTTTGAAATATTGCAGTACGAGATGGTTGTCTCTTTTAGAATCTATAACAAGGATTTTGGAACAGTGGGATGCTGTGATAAATTTTTTTGGAGATAAACCAGATAACAGTGAGAATGAAGGAAAGAGATTGCAAAACATTAAAAAAATTTTACAGTCACCGACCACCAAATTGTACTTGTTATTTTTGAAAAATACTTTGCCTTTGTTTATAACAGTAAATATTAATTTGCAACAACAAGCTCCTTATATACATAAATTGAGAAGAGAACTTTTTGAACTTTTAATGAATTTATTTGTTAGATTCGTAAAACCATCAGGTAATTTCTAAAGAAAATGAAGATGTTACTCTAACGTCTATTCCATTTCAGAAGTATAGTAAACAAAAAGAAAATGAAAATTTAGTGATTGGTGCGGAAACAAGACTATATTAAAAAAAGCCAAGTTGAATGAAAGTGAAGTGAAATTGCATTTTTCAATTCTGTGCGAGCTTTTTTTTGTAACTGCATGTTTCAATATATAATTGATAAATTTCCACTGAGTGATCCATTTCTAAAACATGCTGAAGTTGCTGACATCAACTTGAGAACTGAAGTCTCATTTTCATCTGTTCTTTACTTGATGAATACTTTTCCATCCATTATTGATGAAAAATGTCTTAATCAAGTAGAAATTGAATTTTCCATGTATCAAGTAGATGATTTGAAAGAAATTGTAGATTTGCATATTGATATAGCATGGGGAGAAATTGCCAAATTAAAAAATATGAATGGGTGTATTAAATACAAAGTATTGCCTTCTGTAATGCTTGCTGTCTTAATAATACCTCATTCAAATGCAGCTTGCAAAGAATTTTTTCTATTGTTAAAAAAAAATCAGACGGAATTTCGACCAAATTTAGGTCTTAAAACTCTTGAAGCAGTTTTGATTGAAAAAAATAAATATGCAGGCAAATGAAGAACTGTGTTATAAAAAAAAAACATTCTCAAAATCAGAACTTAAGCTTGCTAAGCATGCTACATATAAATCTTTGCATTCATAAATTATGCGTATTTTGTTTAATACTTATATGTATCATTCTTGGTTATTTAAATTTTATTTCCCTGTAGAAATCATATCCAGAATAAAGATATGATTTATAGCTTCTGATTTTTTTTATGATTAGTAGTGATTTGAAGTACTTTTTATTAGTGAATGCTTGAGGAGTTAAAAGAAAATTTCTAATTAAATGTGCATATAATTTACAAGGTATATTTTTAATTATTCAGTTTTATATGTATATGGATTTTAAATGTAATAAAATTGATTACAATTAATTATTAATTTAAAATTAATGAATGGTTACTTACAACATACGCTACGCGCACATTTTCAAAGTTGTAAAAATGTCGTTCGCGCGTTGACTACTGACAAGGTTTGCTGAAGGTTGGAGTCTATGTATTTATAATACATATGTGTATTTTAGTTAAAATTATTTTGTTTTCATCATTAACAGTACTTAATATGCATTCAATGAAAATTTGAATTAATGCCTAAAAAGTGGTATGGAAAAGAAATTTAAATAAAGTTTTAAAAAATTGAAACTGATTCTTATCAATCAATATGTTATTAAATAAGGAAAGCTTTTGGTTACCGTAAGTTGATTACAGGAGGAGGTCAGAAAATCTTAAAAGACCTGTATGAAGTACTGTATTTGACGGCATATAAGATGCACATTTTTTCCTAAATTTGGTCTAAAAAAAGTTACCTGTGTCTTATACGTGAAGGACACAGGTTAACTTTCAATACTGAATGTTATTTTTAGCCCGGATAAAGGTCTAGACACATAACTTTTTCTACATCTGCCATAATTATTTTGCGCATGCGTGAAATATCTGTCACCAAAAAGCGCCAAAGCTTGAAGCTGATGTCGAAGTTCGAACAGGTTCGACGGTCACATTACGTGTATGGAGCCTTTCCTTCTGTACATAGACTTTCTTTGACTCAGCCAATACACGTTTCGGTATCGGTGCTTAAAACTAATTTTTTAAAAAATACCCTGTAAAATATGACTACAGGAAACAAGAGATTAAGCTATACAATTCAGTATAAACTAGGAGTGTTAATCAATGCGCACAAAAACAACTATTACACAGAAAATGCCAGCAGGAAAAATACTAGCATTTCATAGGTTTGTTTTAAATGCACGCAAGAAAACTTCTTTTGAGCTCGGTCAAATAGGAAATGTGGATGAAATTCCACTCACATTCGATGTACCATCCAACAAGACTGTGAGTATTAAAGGGTCTAAATCAATAACCATAAAAACCACAGGTCATGAAAAAACGTGATATACGGTAGTTCTAACATGTTGTGCTGATGCTACAAAACTACCACCGTTTTTCATATTCAAAAGAAAAACTCATCCGAAAGAAAAACTTCCTTGTGTGTGGCTTTCTAAATAAGGGTGCGTCTTATATGTCGTCAAATACGGTAATTATAATAACTTAAGAATTCTCAAGAAAATGGGGGGTGTGAAACTCTTTTAGTGGCAGATTAAATAAAATTCCTTTCTGCATGCATTCTGTTAAAAGTAAAGATTAAATAGTTTAAATTCCTGCATTTAGAGGTAGTTTAAGGGCATGAGTTCTTATCTGTGTAAAAGATGATGCACACAAGCTGCTTATTCATTCTACATTTCAAACAATGAAGTTGGAGGCAACAATCACTTTGTAGCTTTTTGAAGATGGCACTATAATTTTCATCTTTTGTGGTAAATAATGCTTGTAGAATATTTACAAGGTATCATCTGAGTGCTTCTGACTATGAATGAGCAGCTCTGCCTCAAGATTGGGCAAAGTTTCGCTCAAGTTGCCACTGCAGTAGGCATGTTTAAAAGTGAGTTTAGAAAAGACTGCTGAGGATGGAACCGTGGCCTTCGAGAATAAAGCCTTACAGCTCAGTGACGTAGAGCGCGTGACGTCAGTACAGAGAGTGCACCTTTCTTTGGGTTTGAGGGCAGCGTTGGGTCAAAGGTTATTGTTAGTCGCCATTGCTACGAAAGAAGTGGTTGAACTGCAGTTATTGACCTAAAATCTTGGTATATACCAGGCTTTTTTCATAGTCGGACACTTTAAAATTGAGATTTTTGCAATTTGTGGGTTGTTCCAGAAACAATATAATGTCTTACATGTGTTCAGTGCCACTGTGCAACTGAAATTACAATACATATTTTCACTTTTCCTGTTGATGCAGATGTGAAAGTGGATACGTGCAATAAAAACAGAAGGACTTCATTCGGACTAAAAACAGCAGGGTGATG